TAGATTGGCCTTGCCTCTCAATGTTGTGGTCTGCAGATGACACCAGTGTCACCTGGGAGCTTGCTAGAGCTGTGGACTCTCCAGTCCCACTCAAGACCTGTTAAGTCAGACCCAGGTAAATTAAAGTGACTCAGGCAATTCATCTACATTCAAGTTTGGGAGCCCCTGGTGGCACATTAGAATTACCTGGGAGCTTTAAAAAGGGGGTTTGGGGAAGGGCTGCATGTGGGTTTTTTTGTTTTGCCTCATTTTGTTGCTCCTGGGCGAGTCTAATGTGCACCTGTCGCTGAGAACTTCTGCTCTAAAATAAGGGTCTGGCTTCAACCTGAAAAAGAGGAAGGTTGTCATCTCCAACCTCCACCTGCTTCAATGCAATGTCCCTTGCTGCGACATGTTGGTGATCTCCCTGCCAACTCCCAGGTCATAGAAATTTCATGAGAACAGTGAAACTGGATGGAGGAAACAGTTGCATTCCAGAACAAGGAGAAAATATGGTATTTCTGGCTGTCCCGCAGAACGTTAAAGCTATTTGATTTGCAGGTTTGTAACATTACAGTGACTTCTTGGGAGGGCATGAAGTGTTGCAACTGTTACTTTATTTACATCCCACAAAATGCTTTGATAGACAATTCTGGCAAACATTTTGGAATAAATTTTTAAAACATTCCCAGCAAACAGCAGGGTTTCTGTACCCACAGATACTGTCTAGCTTTACCAACAATTCTACTTTGCATCAGTCACCTCTTCATTCCAGAATGAGGTGGCTACTGACATCAGCTCAATTACCAACCCTCGTCATTCAGCAAGTTTTTGAGTGCCTGGCATATACCAGGGACTCAGCTACAATTTCAGGACTTTTTAACCTTGACCTTATTGATCACTGCTTATCGGCGTGTCTCCCCATGCCTGCATCCTGGACATTCTGGGGGCTCCCCATCTAGGCAGCATCACTCACCTTCTTCCTCCTGCCCTGGAGTGTCTTTTTCTGCTCGCTCTTGGGGGCCCAGGTCAAGACACTCTACCTCCTTGAGGCCTTCTTCCATTACCCCTGTGTTCTTCTGTCTTAGCCAGCTCCACCTTGGAAGAAGTCAGTTTAGCTCTTGATGAAGTCTAAATTTTCCACGTGTGTGGGTTTTTTTTCTCTCCTTCAGTTTACATTTCCCCGAAAACGTTTGCAGAATGCTTACAGCCCAGTGCCTGGAACACAGTAAACTTTCAGTAAATGTGACCTGTTATCTCAAGGGACTGATGATGCATTCACTCCTGGTAGCCAGCATACAGCAGGTAAACTAGTGGGCTCATTAGGTCAAGAAGTAACAAAACTAAAGAAAGCACACATCACGGACATATAGCTCCTTTATTTATGACTTGAATCACTCTAACAAGTTGCATTTAAGATTGCTGACTTCCAGTAAATACAGACTGCAGCACCACCCTTTTAATCATAATGTAATAAAACATTCCTTATTTTTAAAATGTCCCACAAAACCTGTCAAGACTGTCTTCAAAAGCTTAAGGCAGATACAGAGAGCACACCCCACGCCATGTGCAGGTGCATTGATTCAAATAATAAGGGACACATACACACTAATCATTCTACCAGAGAAAAGTAGCATATGGACCTCAGAGCAGTGCTACCATTTCCAGCCTGAAAACCAGCAATGGGCAATGAAACTCTGTATCAGTTTCCTAGGGCTGCCATAACAAAGCACCACAAAGTGGGAGGCTTAAACCACAGAAACTTATTGTCTCACAGTTCTGGAGGGTGAAGTCCAAAACCAAGATATTAGCAGGGTCGGTTCCTTCTCGAGGCTCTGAGGGAGAATGGGTTCATGACTCTCCTAGCCTCAGTGGCTTGTTGGCAATCTTTGGCATTCCATGGCTTATAGATGTATCACCTGATCTGGGCTTTCACGTTTACATGACATCCTCCCTGTGTGCATATCTGCATCCAGATTTCCTCTTTTTTAATAGCATTGGTCATACTGGAGTAGGGTGTGGTCATACTGGAGTAGGGTGGGGGTCCCATCTTAACTAATTACATTTGCAATGACCCTATTTCCAAATAAGGTCACGTTCTGAGGTATTGGGGTTAGGACTTCAATATATGAATTTTTAGAAGAAACAATTCAACCCATGGCAAACTTCTAAAACACAGGTTATAGTCTGTGATCCAGACCACCCCACCCTACCAGTCTTCACCACCTTTACAATCCAGGTTGGAAACTGTCACATCAAAGCAAATTCTGGGTGATCCACATGGGCGTTTTTAGAGGAAATACACGGAATGTTCTAGTCGCTGTTTCTGGAGACTTAACTGCCTGGCAGATTGGCAGTTTTAGAGCATCACTACCTCTTCTATAAACTGTGTCTGAGTCTTGGCAGGAGGGCAGGGCCCGATAAAGTCCCAGTGGCAAGATCAGGACGTAGATGGTGGAGGGAGCTAAGCACCCGGCTCCCTATCTCTCCAAAACAAGCAATGTCATTTTCAGGAGCGTGTAAAAGGAATGAAACACCCACCCATATTCAGGACACATCATACAGCTGTATACCCTCAAGTATCTGCCAAGCACAAGTGCCTCTCAACAGATAGTGATGTATTAGCGTTGCTAAGTATTTCAGCTCCAATCAGGTGTCGTCTTACATGATCACCACTAGAGGGCAGGCCTTTAAAAGGTTCCTGTTCAAACCCGTTGCTCTGCCAAAGCAAAAGCTCCAGATTGAAAAGGCCGTCTTTCTCCCACATATAATGCAACTACAGGTTCCATGAAGGGCAACAACGCGGGAAGCAGCACTATGCTGTTTGCACACGACTGTTTTCTGATGATATTAATAAAGTGTAAAGCCCATGAGCCAACCTGCTCTTCCTGCAGGCCTTCTTCAGGTGGGAGTTCCTAGCATAAAGGAATACATCGCGCTGGCCAGGGCAGGTCCTGAGAAGTTGGCTGTAGGTTAATGGAAAACAAAAGTGGACTGACGCAGTCCATCCTCTCACTGGCGTCATGCTTACAAGAGAGCTACTCAGCATGAACGCTCCAAAGGAAGCTGTATTTAATTCCTCACATTTAAGACGTCCTAAAAACTGTAATTTTATAAACTCTACCTTCGTCACAAACTCTTCCAAAAAGAGACAAAAGCGCAAGTAAGTCTAAAGATGGCTGTGTCTCTCTCTACCCACACACCCAGATACATCTGCCTTATCTGCTGTCATGCACATTTTCTATAGACCTTTATCATGCCATTGTGATAAAGTCAAAGATAGTGCATTGCCAGGCCAAACACTGTTTTCCTTCTCATTCCCAGACAAGGCTTCTTACTCCTGAGAGGGCAGAACCTAGAAACAGCCCCACGGCATGGAAACTGCTGGCCATGAAACTCCGTTGGCTAGTGTTTATGGAGAGGTTCCCAGTTCCTCCTCGGAGGTCTAAACAGGATTTCCCTAGAGAAGCAGTTTTCGTGGAATAAATGACAGAGAGCTGGGGAGGGCCAGCCAGGTCACTGGGCTCCGGCTCCTCATTGCTCAGCCCACCGGCTTCCGAGGGCTGCCGTCCAAGCCAGCCAGAAACAGACGCTGAGAGGAGCTCCACAAAACTGCAGAGCTACTCCATTCCTGCCCACACTAATGGGGCATAAATGAGAAAACATTTTGCATAAGAAGAAAAAAAAAAAGCCAAGAGACACTTTTCAGAATCCCCTTGAGAGAAGGAGGACTGGAGTCTGCAGCAGGAAGAAAACCAAAAAACAAGTAGAGGTTTATTCCCTGGTAGAAGAAAGCAAAGTAAAGGCACTTCTTCTTCAAGTGCTTCATGATACAAGATTCTACTTTTCGATTCTTGGTGTTCATTTTTAAAAACAGTATTTGATATGTTTAAATCATGGAGGCAAGGTTTGTGGTAACCGGCCAAACAACAGAGATACAGAGAAATTCAATAATCATCCTACAAGTCTACCTTCTAAACATAGAAGAAACTGCCTGTTTAAGTTCTGAATTTGGGAGACAAAGCATCCTTTTCCTGTTGAGCTGTAATATTTCTCTTTTGTTGGCTTAGAGTTTGCCATGAGCGAGCACAAATTACCTCCCGTGCATAAGATAATCTCTACAGCACAGCTAAGAAAACACAAGCAATATGGATTAGCGAATCTCCCATTACTCCTGATAAACTTCCTTAAAGGCAAAATAACATTTTGGTCTCAAATATCCAGGGGAATGAGGCAAAATGTTTCTCAAACAAGTCTTGGCACAGTGTCAGGGTCTGATTATACTATATGAACCTTAAAATTTTGTTTTCACTTAATCTTTGGAGAAAACCTTTAATAGTTTTTAAGGACAGAAGTCTTCTGCAGTGATAATTCAAAATGAAAGGCCATTTAAGTTGGCATTTCTCTAATGGGTTTTTAACATGCCTGCTCTAAGAGACTACTAAAAATTATTTCCTTAGAAAAAGGTTGTGAATATTATCAAGATTTACCTAGGCCCATGAGTCCTAAATCTCACTGTGCATTAAATTTTCAATAGGAACAGCTTAAAAATACAGGCTGTGGCTCCCCTACTCCGGAATCACTAGGGACAAAGACTGATGATCTGTGTTCTACATGGTCCCCAGCAGACAATGACCCCAGGAACAGATTTCCTACATACCCAGCTCTGCCCTTGTCTCTCATTAATCTGCATCCAGTAGCACAAAGGGACTCTTCCTCCTCAATCACAAAACATTCCTCTCCCTTTCTCCCCCTTACAGAATTGGGCCAGAGCAGTGCTTCTTGAAGTTTACTTCCAAGACACGCAGCGAAAGCATCACGTGGAAACCTGTCAGAAATGCACCTTCTCCAACCCCATTGCAGATCTGCTAAATTAGGATTTCTGGGGCTGGGGCAAACACAGTAATCTGTGTTTCAAAAAGCCACCCAGGGATTCTGATCACGCGAAAGTGTGAGAATCACTGGATTTGAGATTTTTGCAATTTCAAGAGAGAAGCAATGAAGAAAGACATAACTTCATGTAAGGTAGAACCAAGTTTATTAATGACAGCCTTTATTACAACCACTCTCGAGTGTCAAAAATAAAGGGTGATTCATTAAAATTTAAAACTCACTTGGACTTGCCATTTGGCCTTTCACTGGATGGGCCACAGGGTGGGAACCTTGCCTAGTTCTGAATCAACTGGTCAGATGGAGTTCACTGGAAAATGAGGTAATCAACATAAAGGACCAGGGTGCCAGTGGAGAGCTCACGTGTTCTCCACGTTGGCATGACATTCCAGAAGGACAACTGTGATGGGGGCAGAGATGAAGTAAAATAATCTCACAGCCAAATATGGAATGAACACCTTTAAGTACATGGAGACAAAAACACACACATGCAGGGTCATACACACACCCAAACCCTGGAAATCAGATTTTCAAAGACTTTTTGTCCTTTCTCTGAACAGACTGACACATTCATCAGCCACAGCGATGCAACATGAGGGTGAAATGGAAAACCTTGCTAAATTTCCACAAACTATGCTAGCTGGCTGCCCAGTTATGTGATGGCAAATGTGTCATCACCGTGAAATATGCCTGTGGCTTTCCCAGCGTTCCACAGACTAATATTTGCTCCCCCAGGGGAATGACACCCTGGTCGGCTCCAGTTGGATTAAAATCTGGGGGCAAAACTTGTCCCTCCCACCTGGAGTCAGGGGAGGGGTGGGTGGCAGCACCTGGAGATAGTTTCCCACTGGTGTCATAGAACACCTGCCCTATCAAGGTTCTCCCCTCCAGAGTATTTGTGCTTTGTCACCAACCTGATGGTTAGTCTGCACTAAGAGAAAAGGAGCTCTGCCCATGCACACGTTTTTTTAAAATTAAAAGAAACTGAAACCAGGAGAAGGAAAAAAAACCATTAGAAGCTTTCTGATTGTGTCAACAAGTGATTTGGAATTGGGTTTAATTCCATTCAAAGAGAAAGAGGAGGAAGCTGCAGAAGAGGCCATAACGACCCGTACGGTTAAGGGATCATTGAGTCCATGGAAGCATCTGCGATGGCGCAGCGGGCCCCTTCCCGGCCAAGAAGGACTTGCCACACCTCTCAAGGCCATGGACCTATTAAATAAATGCTGACCAAATCACATTTATAAATGTTGTAGGAAAGATGGCAGAAAGAGAAGCTGGTAGATTCAGACTCATAAGTCATGCGGAGAGATTACACACACAAAAATTAACATTCGAGCTTGTGAGAAAACACTAAAATTTAACAGAAACTGTATCATAGCTTTCACTTTGGGGGAAACCTCTCCCCAGAAAAAAAGAAACAAAAATTCCAAAACCCCAGAGTATTCCGGAGTTTCCAAGAATCCAATGCCTAATTTGGTAGACCGGGTGTGGGGTATTTAATTAAATACCTTGTCATTAACCTCATTTTCTCCTTGGATTTCGTTGATAAATAAAGCTTAGGCCTACTTAGAAAAAAAGATCTGTGCTGCTAAAATCCAGCATCGTGAAGCAGTGCACACGGAATACACAACTTCTCTTGTAAGAAGACACTCCAGGTGACCAGACGTGCCCACCCATGTCACTTGTTGAATGCGATCACAAAATCCAAACCCAAAGACAAGCTGTTTTCTTCTTGGGATGAGAACTGTCACAGTTCCTTGAAATGTACAGTGAAGGGACGCCAACCCCCAGCCTTCATAGGTCAGGGGCTGACTTTTGGAAAAGATGCACTTCTTTAGGCCATGGAGCAGAAGGCAGTCCCCTCAAGGTGTGGCGAAGAACAAAGCTGCCTCTCCTAGCCCTCCGATTTCCAAAGTGGAGAGCAAGACTATGCTTTCCACAAATGCAGATACAGCTGGGTCCCCCACCCTTCCTTTGTTGGTTATCCAACCATCCATAAATTCATGGCTACAGTAGAGATTCACGGCGCAACAACTTTCATACTGGTTATTCTTTAAAAACTCTGTCAGTAAGCAGCATTTCCCAGTTTTACCCCCCAAAACAAGTTCTTGGCAGCTCCATTGGGTGGGATCGCAGGATGCCTCTGTGACCGGGGTCCGTGCAGCGTGGATTTGGTTGGGCACGCTGGAGGGTCTGGAAGGCTGGGTCTGTCCAGTGTCTTACAGCAGCTATTACGGGGCTCTACCAGCTAGCCCTGACAGCTTCAATGTCACTAACCAAATTCTGGGCCAGGCATATCCCAAAAATCTGAGAAAGGAAGAAAAAGAGCATCAAACAAGGAAACTCTTAACTTCATCAGGCTTTTTCTTGCCCAATGAACTCCACTTTTCTTACCTTTGATTTTTTTTTAATTGAGATATAATTCATATACTGTAAAATCCATCCTTTTAAGGTGTGTACGTCAGTGGTTTTTAGTATATTCACAAGGATGTGCAACTATCACCAGTATCTGATTCCAAAACATTTCCATCACCCCAAAAATAACTGTACCCATTATCAGTCATTCCCATTCCCCATCCCTCCAGCCCCGGGAACCACTAATCTACTTTCTATCTCTATGGATTTGCCCATTCTGGACATTTCATATAAATGGAATCATATAGTATCTGGCCTTTCGTGTCACTCTGCTTTCACATAGGAAAATGTTTTCAAGGTTCATCCATGTTGTAGCACATACCAGTACTTCAATCCTTTTGATGACCTGAATAATATTCCACTATATGGATAAACAACATTTTGATTATCCATTCATCAGGTGATAGACATCTGCAGTGTTTCCACTTTCTGTCTATTACGAACAGTGCTATTATGAACAACCGTGTACAAGTTTTTGGGTGAACATATGTTTTCAATTCTTTTGGGTACATACCTAGGAGTAGAATTGCTGGGTCATTTGGTAACTGTTTTCACTTTCTGAGGAATTGCCAAATTGTTTTCCAAAGAGGCTGCACCATTTTCATTCCCTTCAGCAATGTATGAAGGTTCCAATTTCTCCACATCCTCAACAACTCGTTATTGTCTTCCTTTTTAATTACAGTTAACCCCTGAGCTACCCGGAGGTTAGAAGTGCTGGCCTCTCATAAAGTAGAAAATCTGCATATAACTACAGTGGGACCTCTGCACACTCAGATTCCCACCCATAGAGTTGAACCTGCAACAACTTGGGTCAGCTGAAATATGCAGGTCAATTTAAATGTGGTCAACTGAAAAAAATCTACATAAAAGTGGACCTGTGTAGTTTCAAACTATGTTGTTCAAGGATCAACTGTACATTCATCCTAGCATACGTGAAGTGGTGTCTCATTGTGGTTTTGATTCTAATTTCCCTAGCAATTACTGATGTTCAGCATCTTCTCATGTGCTGTCTAGCCATTTTCACCTTCACTGGAGACATGCCTATTCAAATTCTTTGCCCAACTTTAAACTGGGTTTGTCTTTTAAACTGTTGAATTTATTCTAGATACTTGATCCTTATCAGGTATAAAAATTTGAAAGTATTTTCTCCCATTTTAGAGATTGTCTTTTCACTTTCTTGATAGTATTTTCAGCATAGTTTTAAATTTTGATGAATTCTAATTTACCTACTCTTTCTTTGGTTACTTGTGCTTTTGCTGTCGGGTCTAAGAAAACACTGCCTAATCTAAGGTCACAAAGATTTACACCTATTCATTCTCCTAAGAGTTTTATAGTTTTAGTTCTTATATTTTGGTCTTTGATCTATTTTGAGTTAATTTTATATATGATGTGAGGTTAAGGGTCCAAATTCATTATTTTGCATATATTCAGTTGGTTCAACACCATTTGTTGAAGACTAGTCTTGGTTCTCTTGTCAAAAAATCTACTGGCCAACCATAGATGTATGGGTTTATTTCTAGACTTCTGATTCTATTCCACTGATCTCTATGTCCAACCTCATGGCAGTATGTACTATCTTGATTACTGAAACTTTGAAGTAAGTCTGGAATTGGGAAGTGTAAATTCTCCAACTCTGCATTTTTTCACATTTGTTTTGCTATTCTGGGTCTCTTGCACTTCCATACGAATTTTAGGATCAGCTTGTCCATTTTTGCAAAAAGGCAGTTGGAATTTTGATAGAGATTGCATTGAATCTGTAGTTCAATTTGAGGAGTACTGCCACCTTCACAATATTGTCTTTCAATCTATAAATATGGGAAGGACTTCTATGTATTTAGGACTTTTAAAATTTCTTTTAAACACTGTGCCCCATGTGTGACCCTCCAAGAAAAGCATTGCATCTCCACAAGATGAAAAAGCCCAGCTCTTGGGGCCACCCAGGAGGAAAAGTGGACGCTCCTTTTCTTCACTAGCACTCTGGCCAGATGGTCCGGAGACATGGCACAGAATGTCTGTGAAAATGCAAAAGGCCTTCACCTTGCCACTTGGACCTATCTCTGACCATTCCTATCTGCCCAGCTATCCCAATGCAGTATTATTGAACACATGGAAATGCTAGAATGCCAGTAGGCAACTACTGACCCAATCAATATCTGTCTTGAAAAAGAAAAAAGGTTTCTTAACATATTTCTGGATAATAGCATCTAAAATCAGAACTTTATTAACATACAAACCAAATAGTTTAGGTTTGTTTCCTCGGCCCCTCCAATGATGTCTTAAAAACTGTGCCATGCGGTGATTAAACTGGCTCCTAGCCTGGCCAGGACTCTCCCAGGGCATTATCATCTCCCTGTGACATCCAGAAAGGGGCCTTGTCTTACCTGTAGCAATGCAATGCCTATGAAAATACCAGCCACGATGGTTAAATTGTCCTGCAACCACTTCTCAAACTGGGGCACACAGCCTTTTGTGTAGATGACAATCTGCTGGTCAACTTCCTTCACAAGGGAAGAGGAGAGCACAGCGTCACCATGCAAGTTCAACAGCTACTCCAACACCCTCTGTGCTAAGCGACAATGATATTCCACTTACTGGTTTCTGCCTGGCATCATAGCCACACTGAGTGTTGATGACATCTTCCTGGTGGAGACAGAAAACAGAACAGTGAAATTCACTCCTGTTAGAAAGCCCACCTAGGAATTAGCAGAACATCCCCATTTAAGTGTCGGTAATAAAATGTGGATTGGGACATGCAGACAGACCTGGCACCTTATTAACACTTTTATACATTATCCCATGGAATGATTATAACAATCCTCAGAAGTAGGTATTAAAATATGCCCTCTTTTCCAAATGAGGAAAACTGAGGCTCAGGAAATGACAGAAAGGAGAGCAAGCCTATTATGCGGGAGGCTCAAGATTCAGGGTTGACAACCTCAAGAAGCTTAGGGGATTTAGGGAACTGGAAATATAGATAAAAACTATGATTAAAGGGCACAATGACTGTCTTCATTTTTGCTTTTTTGGGGGGACTTCTATTTTTAAATCTATGTATGTATATTTAAATGGTGTTTCAATGAGAATGCATTACTTCATAAAAAAACGAACAATGCCCTGATCACATAACACATGGACAGATGCTCTGACATCTAACAGGCCTGATTAGAAACGTGGGTCCACCTCTGCTAGGTTTACTTTTCCCCTCTGCAGGGTATGGGCAGATTTTATTAGCTTAGCATTTATGGAATGAGGAAGCTTTGCCTAGAGGATCTGTAGTTGAAAGGGGAGGCATAATGCCTTCCGAGAACCTGCAGAATTCTTTGGATAGAATGCTAACACAGGGCGAGAACTAGAGACAGAGCACAGTTTATAGCTGTTGGCCAGTGCCAGGTTGCCTGAGTGGGCACTCTGGGCTCTGTGCTGGGCACTCTTGCCTTTCTGCCCTCATCAGAGGAAAGGGAGAAACGAGCCAGTTGCGAAAGGCTGGCTTTCCTGGCAAGGTCCCAGAGCAGGGGAGCACAGTCCTTACTGATTCACAGTCTCCTTCAGACCAAGAATAACAGCCCAGGCTGACCCCCGCCCCCACCCATGACCACCACGGGCAGGCTGCAGGAACTTCTGCTTTTCTACCCCAAGATCACTGCCGCTTTAAAAGAGCCCCACACCCCCTACTTTGCAGGGGGAAATGGCCACTCGGCTCTGTGCCCCCTCGGCTCTGCTCAGTGAGGGGAGGGGCGGCTCTGGGGGTGGACACTTGGGGACTGATGGGCCAAACAGAGGCTAAAAAGTCCAGAAGGGACAAGTACAGGAGCCACTTGTATTTGTTGTTCTAACACTCAGTTCTGGCTTTTAAATTAAAATAAGGGCTCGCATGTTAAGTCATTCTACATAACAGACACATAATTGGACCCAAAATACAATCAAGTCCATGGTAAAAGACAGTAGCTTATGAATAGGCATATATATATATATTACAAACTGCAATTACTGTCCCCGTTGCGGCTGAGAGCCTGGGCAGCGGTGATGTTTCCACATAGTATTCTGCCCCTATCTTGTCTCAGACTCTTCCATTCCTAGCACGTCCCCCACAACTAAGTCTGGCAGAAAAGGGTTACGAACCCCAAACCAAAGCAGACAGCTCTCATATAAGCCCACCCTTGCCATTAAAAACATTTTTTTAAACTAAAAAAAAAAGAAATAACAGGCAATACAGGCAGGCTGTCTGGATCTGAAGCTCAACTTCATTACTTCCTAGCGATGTGAGCTTGGGAGAGTTATTGAAACTCCATGGGCCTTGGTTTAACCTGAAAAGGGACGATTATGATAGTAATTGCCAGTAGAACTGTTTCGAACTTATATAAGCCAAGGCACAAAAAACCTTAGAATAGGAACCAGTACGTGCTGCTGACGTAACGTCAGTGCTTATCCCTCCTGCTGGAGAGAACTGAGCACTCTACCCGCTCCAGGAGCTAGGATTAGGCAGAAGAGGGTCAGGGGAGATTTCAGGATCCAAATCACTCTGCTCCTCCCATCACCATCCCAGTGTGACGCACAGGGCAGGCCAGGAAGTTGCCGGCCTCCACTTACTGCGGGGTCCTTAGTACAGCAGGAGAATGGCACGCCGCATCGCTCCCGACTGGCGTTGGAATCTGTGCAATTGAAGTAAATATTTAGGTTCCAATCATCAGCTCCAAAAGCCCCACAGCACTGCCACTAGAGCAAACAGGAGAGAATTAGGACACCTGGACTTGGAGGCCACCAGGGGCCTACACTCACAAACCCGCCCAAATGACCGACACCCAGCTTCTGCCAGCGTTAACCTGCTCTCCTGTCTCAGAATTCAGTTTTAAACCACACTAAACCTAATCAGTCCCTGTAAAGCATCCGAAATAATTAAGGCTGGAGGTTTGTGAGGGTGTGTTGGCATGTGATTTAAAAGATGGATGAGACCCATGGTGTTAGGTGGGGGAAGGGCCGAGGAGGCATTGTACAGCAGGGCTCCGTGAGTGTCAGAACTGTTTGGTTCGAGCACACCTAGGAACATTCTAGAAGGGTAAACAAGCCACTAAACAGTAGAAGGAGGCAACCGGGGTTGTGGGTAGGACATCTAGAGACTTATTGACCATTCTGATCTCTACACCTTAATGTTTAAAAAAAAATCTGTTTTATTGAGGTATCATTGATATACAATAAACTGCACATATTTAGTGTACAATTTTATAATTTTTGACATATGTATACATCGTGAAACTATCACACAATCAAAATTGTGAACATATCAATTACCCCCAAAAGTTTAGAGGCTTACTTTTCATTACGTATTGGTTAGTGCACTGAATACTTTTAAACAAAACCATGTATTTACATTTTCAACTTAAAAATTCAATCATCTAATTAAAATATAATAAAACAAGCTGTTAAATTCAGTGGGTCTTCAGTGGGGCCTGATTCAAGGGCTGCTCCCTAAATCCCCTTGTCACTCCCCTGGGCTTGACTAAGCTCTATTTCTACCAGTTAAATAAACATCAAGCCTTGACCATTTTAAGGCTTTCAGGACCAACAGCTACTTCAAAACATTAAACTCCATGACAGAAAAAGAAAATCACATGAAATGACAGTATTTCCATATAAAGCAGATAGCACTTCAAGACAGCGTGTACATGCATGTTCCTGCCACTCATCTAGTTCTCTGAGGGCTTGGGCAGTGCATCTTGGGGTTTGCCTACAAAGCTCCATCAAATGTGCCATGCAACCTAGGCAGCAATAATACTTGGCAAGATGTGAGCTTGCATCCATTATGACCTAACAAAACAGAGAAGTCTGCTGAGGAGATGAAACAGGGCTTAATTTCACACCTGAGGTAGAGCTAGCTCCAGGGCAGTCCTTGCTGTCACTGAACAAAACCAGCACAGCTCAGCTCAGTTCTGAGTGCCTGATGCAGCAGAGTGGTCTCCCCCAGGGTGAGTGCTAATGTAGCGCTCTCCTCCCTTTATCAAAGGGGATCCCTGGTCATTCTGAACTGGTTGATTGGGCTTCTGTTTGCCCTCCAGTCCTGCCATATACATTAATGTCACGGACACCACTGCTCAGCTTATCCAATTTTTCAGTGAATGCAAATAAATACCTGTCAGTTTATAGGACAATAACATCTAATATAAAACCAGGTACTCTTATTAGAGTGTCATAATACCCCCAGTAGCTATTATTATTTCCATTTTACTGTTGGAAAAATAGGTCAAGGTCCTATTAGCCCGAGGTCACTTAGCTAATCAGATTTGGGCACTAGATCTGTATCTTCTGAGCCCTGTTTATACCATTTTGCATTTTGAGTGGAGCAGGGCATCTGCAGCTTTGTTTGCACTGCAGGGGCTGTCACATAAAAATGCTCAGAAACCCGGCGGAAAGGGCTGTACTGCACAGATTCTTCACTTTTAAGAGGCTACCAGGGCTTACAACTTGTTCAACTCTAGGTTTTAACTGCATGGGCTATAATAATACTTGGATAGGTATATTTTAAAAACTTGTAGACAAATATTGTATTGATAAGTACCTTATTCTGAGCTGTGAAGTGTGGAGGATGACCAAAACGGGGGCAAGGAACAAGAGAGAATCCATATTTAATACCAAATAAAATGTTAAGCCTATAGCAAAACAATATTCTTCAAAGGTCGACAGCAAAGGGCAACTATAATTAGAAACTTCTTGCTCAAGAGTTTTCTTCTTTGTTCCTCTCAGTAGAAATTAAGATAAGTGAAAACAGGGCACTTCCATTTAGGGTGAAAATCATGTCAGTCATAGAGCAAAGTCAGAACATAATAAACAGACAAACAAACCAAAAACCATGCAGAAAAGTCAGAGGTAGGTTTCAGCTGGCAGACGCAGAAGCCAGGAGGATGTTCTTTGGGGTCATCCTTCTGAGAAGGCTTTCAACTTGAAAAGAAACCAAATTTAAACTTACATATTCCTGGGTGAAGTCTATGAGGTTTTGCAAATCAATGTCATCCCTGTACGCTCTGATGTTGTTGTTTATGAAGAAATACAGCTGGTCTTTGATCCAGTCTTTGAAAACAAATGCCAGAACTCCGGCAGTGAGCTCCAGGAAGAAAATAATTCCCAAGAACACAGAAAACTAAGACAAAAGACACACACACACAGAGAACAGTTATAAGGGCTCTTTTGATCATATACAGTTAAATGGTTCCTTCTAAAAAGGGTTTGTAATTACATTGGGTTGTTAACACATGGCCAAAGCAGATAACCTTCAGTTTCTTAAGATTCATTAATAAAATATTGCACTCCAAGACAGGGTTTTTAAAAATCATTTCATAATCACATTTTGGGGCTCTGGTGTTCCATTCAGCAATTACCTAACAAAGCCCATAAGCAAACATGAACAATCGGAATTTCTCATTAGCCTCACATTATGGCCTAATGATTTTCTCCTGATTAATGTGCTACCAGATGCTGAGCAATGACCCATCCCAACATCTAGCAAGCTTCTGTAATGTTGAAAAATAAATGATCACAATACTTTAAGATCGCCTGTCATTTGTTACTGTGGCCTTGATCCTGTGTGCGGTATATTCCTTTTATGGATTCAGACACTGCTTTAATTCCTCTTCACACCTGCTATATGGGGTAAAATAGCAGATGTGTTTATCTTAGATGAAGAGATCAAAGAGGAAGTGGTGGGGGTGACTGTGACATGAAAATAATTTCCCATTATGAAAACAAAATGAAACCACGCTGGGTTGAGGGCCTTCCTTTGTGAAGCCCCAGCCTCAGAATAGTTTAAGTAACACCAACATACAGTCACTGGGAGACTTCTGACTAATGTAAACAACAAGAGTTTTAAAAGAAAGGTGAGAGACCATGGGTAATGTGGTAATTGCTCATGTATGGGGGGGAAAAAATTCCCACCTATCTAAAAGACTCAGAATAGCCTCACCTTAGTCATATCAACATACTATTCACGCCTACAACTCTTTCCACTTCCTACAGCCCTCACGTTCTTACTTTTTTTTTTGCTCAAGCCAATTACAAGAAATGAGGCTGTGAAGGACCAGAGGGTAAAGTGCAAGCAAAGTTCTGGTGACAAGGACAGAAAAGGTGACGCTGGGGCCACCCTGGCTCAGCAGCTCCTCAAGGCTGCAAGACAGTGAGTGGCTGAGGAGACAGAGGGGGATTAACGCTGTCTGCTCTTTCTGTATTCAGCAAGTAGACATCAAGCAGCCAACCACGAGAAAGCGGTTTTGGGGGAGGGGTGCAAAGGAAACTACACAGTCACAATTTATTAAAATAAAAAAAAGACAAAAAATATTTATTCATTCAGCAAACATCTACTGAATGACCCATAACAGATCAGGCCCTGGGTTTGGTGGGCTTTGCAGAAATGAAGTTGAGTAGGTCTGTACTCCTGTCTCCAAAGACCTTACAGTCTTATGGGATTTGGGGGTAGTGTGCCTGCTTCAGCAGCACATATACTAAAATTGGATTTGGGGGTGAGGGGAGGAGAGGGCAGTGGGGTGGGGCCATTTCACATTAGATGTCAGTATATCTGACAGTATTTATCCAGGGTGTCAAGTGCCATTCTGGGAGGGAAAAATAAGTGCCTGGCAAAGAATAGGACCCCAACATTTAGGCTCCAATTCTTGATCCTTCAGGCTCTGTCCTTCTGGTTCCATAGAGCTCCTGGTTATCTGTTCCTGATGAGTTCACTAACAATAGAATCTAAAGAGTTGTTAACTATCATCAGTGGTACTGATAATTTCAAAGTGAGCTTCCCTCAATCTAGAAAAGGGACAGAAAAAAAAAAAAAAGAAACCGTAACATTTTTACTCAATGCCTACCCTATAGCATAAAACAACTCCCCTCCTTTTATTAAGTACCACTCTAAACAGGGAAAGACAACAGTTATCACACTACAGAAATGAGAAAAATCATTGCTAGCTTATATGCATGTACACGCAAAACACTAAGACAGAAGTCGTGCAAAAGTTTTAATTAACATTTTTGTTCTCACTTCCATAAACACTAGGCAAGTTCATTTTCCAGTTACTCTGGTAAATCTTCTCATAATGTTATACAATATGCATGTCGAAATTTGAGTCCAAATTAAATTCTTATCAAATATTTGGCAGAAACCTGCATGCCCCAGGCCCTGTGAGCTCACTTCCCCAATTCCAAAAGTGCTGAGACAGACTCACAAGCTTCGTTCTACGGCCTCAGTCAACAACGAGGCTCCATTTCTATTTATTGGGTTGTCAGAAAAGTCATGATGTATTTTTTCTATGTTTTTCGTTTCAAAAATGCGTCATGACTTTTCCAACAACCCAATATTTTACAGTATCTTAGCTAGCTCTTGGTTTTTCCCTCAGCAATTCTCCTGGCCTTATGACATCAGATGGTTAAGGCTGTTTGGAGTCATGTTAACATTTACTTCCTACTTATGTCATAGCTCCTGCTCAAAGAATATCCTAGGCCAGTTTTTACTGTTTGTACTAAATGGAGAGAGGGACTATTTAAAATATTCTCCAAGACTTAAAAAAGCCAACAGAACACAATTCTCTTCATTTCCAACCTGGAACATTATACATTAAGGTGCTGATTTAGAGAAACGCACATATTTCTGCCTGTTCCGTTAACTCTGGTATCTTCAACTACAAAAATAATAAACTCTATTAAAGGGACTACCTTTATAAACTAAACTATATTCAGGTAAATCACATCAAAAGGGATCCCACATTTTGGGGCATGAAGGCTAAAACTGATAAAATAGTGGCAGCCAGTAAGTATGAGCTGAGGCCCAAAATGGCCACAGAGAAGCTGAGAGAGATGAGCTAGAGCATTTAGAAGTATCTCATGCCACACTGGCCAGTTGGCAGTTTGCAATCAGGGACAAAACTCTCCTGGGGGCTCCACAGGTCTTTGACTGTGTGTGTGTGTGTGTGTGTGTGTGTGTGTGTGTGTGTGTGTAGACAAATGGAGTCTTGGGAAACTAGCTACTCTCACCAGAGACCTACATACACAGAACAGAGATCCAAGTGTTCACTACATTGTACATAGGACCAAGTATCCCTCAGTTTTCCCGATTAGTATGAGTCGTATGAACTTTTCAGGTTCAACAGCTTCCAGAGCTGCCTAAATTTCTTGTCTGAGCCAGAGCTGCCTAAATTCAAAATGGGCTACCCTGGGTGGACAATGAGTGGACAGTGAGTCTGCTCTTCGTAGGGATGTTCAAGAAAAGAGGCCACGGTTGTTGTGGCAGAAGTGACGGGGAAGAGACTCGCATACTGCATGGCTGTGGGGACTAGTTCTGGTCTGTGCTCTTGTTTTACATAAAAATGTCCCTCGATGATGTTGTGTCAATAAAGGTTAAGAATCATTCTAGGAACAGGTGATATTACAGTAGTACTTTCTCTAGCTATCCCACCATCTTCCCTCACCATAGGAAGGGAGGGTGTTTTCCAATCCTTATCCTGTCTTTGGAAAGGGGAGTGGATGCTGCTACACAGAGGACTGTGATATAGATGCCACCCGAATGCTGAAATCCAGGCTGACAGGCAGGTTCGTTGGCTACACTTAGCAAACCTATTTCAGATACATCTATGTATGCACAGGCCGTTTTGTCCTCATTGGGAAAGATTCTCCAAAGGAAAGGCTTTCACCTTTTATTCTACTTCTACTTTCAATACTTCTCTACCCTCTGGTAAAACACTTCCTCCAGAAATATTCATGCTAACAGTGATCACACCAAACACCCTCCAAGGGATATAAAAATTATGCTCGTCACACAGAGGAAGACTTTGCCTTTTACTGTTTCTCCATATTCACCAAAACCTACTGCTTAACAGATGTCATCTGGACAGGCCACAGCCACTGTGCTTATGTCTGGTTTCTCATCTAAATAAACCACCTGAACAACTTTCTACTGACTATGTGTTTAAAAAAGGAGGCAAAAATCACTTAAGAAAACTATATACAGAGGGGGCCAAAAAAATGTATACACATTTTAAGAAAGGAAAAAACTGTATTAAAATTGTAATACTCAATATATACCAATAACGAAAGATGAAATCAAGCCATGTGTATACATTTTTTGGGCACTCCCAGTATATATATATATATATATATATATTAATATATTAGTCCTAAAAGTATTTTAGCAATTAGAATGCAAAATCATGACATATGTGTATAAAACATCTATGAATAACCTGTGGTGAGGGTGGCATGTATATTACTAAGGAGTCATGGGGGGAAGGGAGTGTATCTAGAGAGCTCTCCTAAAAGAAAAGCATTACCCAGGCCATATTTTTGCAAGTGCTTTTGGTACAGATCATTCTTGCCTAAAGAAAGGTGTCCTTCTGATATGGTTAAGTTTGGCTTTCAACCTGAGAGCAGCGTGTGATACTTACAAACTTGAGAAGGAAAGTGTTTTCCCGTAGAGCTCCAATGCACCCTGCAAATCCCAAAATGAACATCACTCCTCCCACCACAAGGAAGAGCCAGACAGGGTCGAAGCCGCCGAGATCGGTGATGGAAGAAATGTTTGACAGAACTCCCTGGGGGCGGGAAAGAACACACAAGAGAGAACCAGATGCAGGGTGAGTTTTCCAACATGAAAAGATTATTGCAATTGTCTTTTCCTCCCTCCTGAAGAAAAACTTCAGTGGTCATCTGATTATTAGGTGTGATTAATACCCAAGAGACACTATAAAAAAAAAAGAAGAAAACAAAAAACCAGTTTCTTTCCAAGTGTAGATAATTTCATATTTTTGGTAAAACTATATAAAACAAAGAAATGACCCCAAGAAACCATCATCAGGCCGTGCATGGAGAAGATGTAGATGTTACCTTTGCTTTCTACATCTCCAAATATAAGGGGTCTTCAGTAAAAAACAGGTGTGTCAGAAAAACACCTCTGAGCACATAGGAAGATGTCAGAGAAGTGGCTACTTCAAGCCCTTGACATTCTCAGGAAATAGGGAATCTCAGGGCTAACAAAGCAGCCAGGCCCAGCCACAAGCTCCTAAAAGTTTTCCAGGGAAAAACTGCACCTCAAAATGCTCCCTTGAGCTTCACATGAGACCCTGTCAGGCTCAGGTCCCCAAAGCCCACTCGGGTGGTCTGTGCAGATGGCTGTCCCACATGCAGATATTAGGGGTATTTGACTATCACCTATTTGTAAGAACCAGGATTTAAATGATTTACAAATCAAAGGTTACTCCAAGGCTTTCAACCCTTTCATTTTCCTACCAAAGAAATCTAGAGTAATTTCATTTCTCCACAAACAGTACCACTTCTTGACTGAAATCCTTCCTCCCTTAAGTGTGATACCACCTAAAACTGTGTAGAAATTATGAGATTTTTTTTCCTCCAAAATGCAAGGTACATATTTGCTATTCATTACTATAAAGCCAGCTACTGATATTTTGAAACTGTGAATAAGTAAATAAGTAAGTCTTAAATACTCAGTATCATCAATATTTATTTTCTTATTTGTTTTGAACTTTCAAAATACCTCCAGATTCTCATGATCTAGTTTACTGTAAAGTCTTATTTAATAATTTGTTTTAAAGCATTCCCAATAACCTAAAAGAATAGAAAATATTCCTTTGATTGTATACTCGAGGAAAATGGAACCCGGAGAGGTTTGGTGAGTTGCTGAAGGTCACAGAGCTATTAATTTTTGGAACCAGGATAGAATGTATATGTCAGCACTCTACCTCTACCAATTGGAAGCCATGTACTTGTTTCCAAGCACTTCCCAGTCAGCACCAATCAACACCTGACTTGAGAAGTTTTAAGTGTCGGCCCATGTTAAGATAGTAGGGACATTTGGACAAAGGTATGTTTGTTAAGTTTTTGTTTCTTTGGGGTGGGGGGAGCATCACCTCAAGAACAACAATAGGATATTACTATAGAATCTACATGAGGAATTAAGGACTTTTAAAATGTACAACTTAAACCTTATGAAAAGGACCAAGGGTTTAAATAAATCACAGATGAAAGGCTGAGAGATTATGAAAGCACTTAGGAATGTAGGGTGTATTCAGTAACTTCTGGGGTGACCTCACAAAAGGCAACCACACCCTTCACCAGACTGCATAGACCAATGGTTTGATCCAACCGTATGTTTCTTAGATTTTCAAGCTCTGAACTATGAATACTCGGGAGGCAAGGGGGTAAGGAAAACACAGAAATAATAGTAACGAATTATTTACCTATACAAATGATGCTGAGAAAAAAAATTGCCAGAGAAGTCAGGCAAAATCTAAGCAACAGTGGTGAGGGTCTAGTATTGGAAGGAAATCAATCCCTCTCCTCAGAATGTCTTTAAACACAGGTGCTGATGCTTAAAGTCTTAATGTTTGGGACCCGTTCAGTCAGGGGAACAGAGAACTTGGGGGGTACATGATAGCATTCTTTTTTTTTTAAAGATTTTTTGGGGAATTGGGGAGATGGGAACTGTGCTGGGGAATTGGGGGAAGGGGAACAGACAAGTTGCTGTCCTTTGGTTCTTCAGTCTAGCTGTGGAGGACGTTGCTTCACTGGCCCAAGTTGGCACCATCACTGCGCTCTTCCCGGCGAGGCAGATCAGTCGCCGGCTTCTGGATGGCCGCTCACTGCGGCTGCTGGCCGCTCACACTGGCTGCTGGCTACACACGGTAGCCCATGGCAACCCACTGCAGCAGGGGCTGCAGCCTACGCCATCACCGGCGACTCACGGCAGCCCAGCTCCAGGTTGAGCTGTTGTTCAGCATCTTAGCTGTGGAGGGCAGTCACTGGCCCTCATATGTGGGATCCGAACCGGGGCCCTCTGGCGTCCCAAGCCAGTTCTTAACCATCGCGCCACTTGGCCAGCCCCATGATAGCATTCTTAAAATTTAAAAAGTTAATTGTGGGAGAAGTAGTCTCAATTTACTTGGCACCAAAAAGAAGAGGCAGCAGACATGGAAGAGACAAGAAGAGGTGCCAGTTCCATCACAAAGACGTCTTTCTAATACCAGCAGGTCTCCAGCAATGGGTCGGAGAAGCTACCTGAGAAACACAGCTTCCTCTCAGGGAGCCCACGCTGTGACCCTCTGTCAGCAGTGCTCTCTAGGAGGGCTTCCCAGACTGGATGGGAAACTGGGACTTACTGACTTTTAGGTTCCTTCCAATTTTAAAACCATTCTATGATTTCATCCATTTTTCATGGGCTTTTTATTTGTGATTCACACTCAAGTCTGAGCAATGATCAGATTGTTCCCAAACACTGCTCTATGACCCGTGGCTATACCCAAAGAGCTCCATGAATCACAGGGACAGTTATCTGGGCAACTCTGGTGAAGCATGCAAGCCAACAAACACACCTGTGCCTGAAACACCAAGATACTCGCCTCCCCAAAAGGGAAGATATCATCCAAGCTGCCAGTAGACTCCTGCATCATTTGTCCTCTCTGGGTTTTACCTGGAGGATGAAAATTTGGCTTCTCAGACAAACTCATTTTCATACTTACTCTCCCCAGCCTTCAGGCCAGTTTTAATTTCAAGGCTCTCAACTGTTTCCATGGAAACAACAATCATTTGAGGGCCTAGCTGGACTGTAGATTCTACTCATTTAATCCTAAATTCCAGCATAAGACAAGAGTGGAGACAGATACTGAGAGTGTGTGGAAAATGATATTCTACAAAGCATGGAACTACCAACAACTTTATTTTTAATGGACTCAGAATATACCCAGGTAGGTATCAGTTGAAAACTAACTCAGGTCTTAAAACACAAAATGTAGACGTCAACGCCCAAGGCCCTTGGGACCACTTATCCAGCTGCAGATGAAAAAAGGACTTGACTCTTGCACTTGTGCAATATTTCCAAATACTCACTGAAGGGCAGTCTTACTGTTTTTGACTCCACAGAGAGATTAAGGAGGAGCTGAACAGAATCCTGGCAACAAAGATTTTGGATGACAAAAGTGAAGGGGAGTTAACAGTTCAGCCTTCTGATGTCTTAAAGATGGGGTCTCTCATTGGACTTTGTGATTTTGTTAAGCTCAATATGACAAATGAGTAAGAAGTGCTAGAACATGCCTGCTGAAGAATACTTATAATTAAAGCTTGTAGTTGACAAGAAGCAGGAAGAAAAAAGAAAAATATAAGATTACAGTTAAGCCTGCCAAGTGATTTCAAATAGACATTCAGATTTGTGGCAAATCCCCAGGAATGTGCAAGAACTACACCCGCAGACACCTTGTCTTCTGGAAACGTGTCGGCACCACCCTCTTCTTCAGGGAACTGCACGTCCCCCTTCTTGTAAGGATTTCTTCTCCCCCAAATCCACTCCATGAGCCCCCAGAGCTGCCAATTCTCACATGACCCCACCGTCCCAGTGAGAGCTGGAAGCCTGAATTCCCTTCCTCGGACAACAGCATTTAGAACAAGCATCTCTCTCTTGTGGCTGAAGCTATAAAATGTCAAACTCTGGAGCACGTGCAGTATGTTTTTCACACTGTGGGGAAAGTCAGTCTGCAGTGAGAAACAGAAAGCCAGTGCTAAGGAAGAAGCAAAGAATTAGGGTAGGGAAAGAAAATCCTGACAGTATTATAATCCCTGGCCTGACCATGAGCTCTGTGAGTCACTCCAGGGTCCTTAGCATACACCCCCTTTGAGTGCCCAATCTGGTTCTATTTTGGTCTGTATTTGCATCTGGGGAGTCCCAGACCACACAACAGCAGTTATGAATAAACTAGGCTTTAGTGCTGCATGGGAGCACATACACAGGCATGTGCACTTGGCCAAAACTGGAGCTCACGCTTTATGCTGGGGGAAAAAAGTGGGTAGGGAGCAGACAAGGGATAGAAGGAAGTGTTGGATTTAAGATGGTCCCTTTACTTGGCTGGCTGATAGTTCCAGTCAACACAACCACTAAGCCACTGTGAACAGTTTTCCTTCATGTTGACTATCAATTCAGCATCATACATGAAATGAGTTCTGGACGGAACTTTTAGGTGCTCTATGTCACTGACAAATAATACATGATTTAAGTTTCCATTCTCCAAGACTTAAGTCCTTGGGTTTAAATGACAACTTATTAGAACTCAAACTTACTGGAAAAAATAAATGCAAAGTGTCATTTAGCTACTCTCTTCTGTGCCCAGAACTGCTGCTTGTGCAAGAAGTACACACACAGAGCCTGGCATTTGCATTCTGGTAGTTAAGTTCTTAGCCTTCTTCACGTGAATCCTGGAAGCAAAGCCCTGGAAGGAAATGATGTCAAGGATACTAGACTTTGTGGAGAAAGTCAGAAAATATCCTATGAAGCTGAATCTAAATGGAATGAGGATAAGCGGATGAGAAGCAGAGCAATTAGCCACAGGTACATATTCCTTTCACTGTGAGTTTTGGCTGACATGAAAGTGGGATTCTGAACAGCAGCAGCTGACACAGAAAGGGAAAGAATAAGAGAGAGAGAGAGCCAGAGACCAAGATGGCAGGTCACAGAAAAATATGTTCAAATACTACAGACTACAGAATATAGGAGGATTTCCTACACACACATTCTTTATTATAATATTAAGAT